CTGGCAAAGAGGAAAATTGCACAGTGCCATACATAATAACTAACTACTTTTAACAATGATCAGCACTTGAAAGTTTTCTTTGTTAACTACAACGGAAAATTGGAAATGGCCATATTGGAAATGACACTATTGGACTAGAAAGAATAAAGGGGAGAGAGCGTGACAAGGAAAATCTACCTTCACTCTGCATTGTCATCAAGAGAAGGTCAAACTCAGGTTTGATTTGAATTTAAGACATTTCCTAACAGAGTTCAAAATGGCATCTTGCACTATGGATCATATAGGGAAAGCAAGGATAGTTGCAAATGATGTTACTATCATAATTAATTACTATAGAAAAGAATTAAGATGACTGACTATCTTTAACTGCTCCTTTGCACAAAATGCCAAGATGTCCTTTCAGCTGAATTTTTCAGATGTTATGTTAGAACATGGCACCCTATCAGTTATACTTGCAGTCACTGACTTAATTCTGTGATATATAAATTGGGACAGTACTTCTTTAATAGCTTTCAGGGGCATTAGAACGATAAATTCAGTAAAGTGCTTTGAGATCCTCGGATAGAAGTTCAAAATATTCACAACAATTGTATAATTAATGCATGATCATCTTGTGACGTTGCAGTCTATATAATTTTATAAAAATATGCTAATGAGTGAATTTAATGTAACTGAAATATGCTTTATGCAAAAGGTCTTTTGTAAGGTATTATTACAAAGCTTATAATTTACTAAGTGTGATCATCCTATTTGTATAAATGTACCACTCTTGTATTTGAAACTAGAAATATGAAATATAACTGTGAGGGCCTATTGTAATTATGCAAAGTGTGGGCCATTAATGGTGGTTTGGAATCTTGATGACTCCCATTAACCAGGACAATTGTCTGCAGATGGGTGTGTTTTACCTGTAAGTCTTCCTGTATACGTGTGTGCTGGCAAGTGGGCAATGAAGTCTTGCAGTGACATGTGATCATGTCACCGGAACTGGAATCCATCTTTCCATTAAGAAGAAGGGGGTGGAAACCCAGAGAGGGACAAAGGATTCCCACCTTATGCAAAAGATATATAAAGGGGTGTAACAGAACAAAAGGGGAAGAGGAACCGTCATGAAGAATTCCCTAGCTACCACCTGAGCTGGAACAAGAGCTGTACCAGGGGAAAAAAACTGTGCCCAGGCCTGGAAGGTGTCCAGTCTGAGGAAAAAAAAAACTTATTAAAGCATCTCTAAGGGTAAGATTATCTGTATTCAGTTTGATTAGACATAAATTTGAGCATTTTATTTTATTTTGCTTGGTGACTTACTTTGTTCTGTCTGTTACTACTTGAAACCACTTAAATCCTACTTTCTGTATTTAATAAAATCACTTTTTACTTATTAACTAACTCAAAATATGTATTAATAACTGGGGGAGCAAACAACTGTGCATATCTCTCTATCAGTGTTATAGAGGGCGAACAATTTATGAGTTTACCCTGTATAAGCTTTTTACAGGGTAAAACGGATTTATTTGGGTTTAGACCCCATTGGGAGTTGGGCATCTAAGTGTTAAAAACAGAAACACTTCTGTTAACTGCTTTTAGGTAAACCTGCAGCTTTGGGGCAAGTAATTCAGATCTTGGGTCTGTGTTGGAGCTGACGGGTGTGTCTGGCTCAGCAAGACAGGGTGCTGGAGTCCTAAACTGGCAAGGAAAGCAGGGGTAAAAGTAGTCTTGGCACATCGGGTGGCAGCTCCCAAGGGGGGGTTCTGTAATCCAACCCGTCACATCTCTCTGTCTCACTGTCAAACTTCGATAACATTATCAGTTATCAGAGTGGTAGCCGTGTTAGTTTGTATCAGCAAAAAGAACGAGGAGTACTTGTGGCACCTTAGAGACTAACAAACACACACACACTAATAAAAGTGAATGTGATTTAACATATTGATGGAAGATTCAAATACTAAGAACTTTTGCTTGGACTATATTTTATCTGTCTGTTTTCATAGTTTTAATCTGTGCATTAAAAACAACATCGTTTGCTATCTCTCTATAGCACTAGACAGAAAAAAATCTCTCTAGGATCAAGATAGGACAATACTGGTGGATATCTAGATTTTGTATGGCTTAAACAGTATAGAAAACACATATTCAGAGCACACAGCTTAAGAGAAGTCATATGCAACACATCGAGCTGACAAAGAACTTCTAATTAACATTAAATAACAGCTTTCAAACACTTGACTTGGGATATGGTGTTGAAAAGGTGTGGGCTGATTTAAAGGAAGTCATATGCAGAGAACAATGGAGGATTCAGTGTGCAGACTTGAAAGGAAAGAGTAGCAGTAACACCTGCAAGCTAAGCAAGAAGTAATGACAATGGAAGCAAATGGCAAAGAAAACCTGATCTGAGAATAAAGCACACAAAAAAGATGGTAAAATGTCCATGAAATTTGAAAAAGCATCTTGGGCTAAATTGTAAAGAAACAGAAAATGAAATCTTCGCCACCCTTTTTAAAGCAATAATAAATTAAAAGGAGGGCGCAACAGTCACTTCAAGGCATGAAGAAATAACAGAACTCCCTTGTAATTTCTTACTGGGATGGCCAACTAAACCAACCTAAGTGAAATAAGCAAGCAAGCAGTATTTGTTAATTGAAAATTATTCCAAAACTTCTTTTGCTCTAAGCTCCTGCCCAATTTAGTTTAGCAGAAAAACTACAATAGATGTCACAGATACCCATTCACCTGCTAAAGTATGTTAAGATGCAGTAAACTACAGTACAAAAAAGAAAAAAGTATCTACTGATTAGAAAAGAGCCAAAAACAATGGAACAAAAGAGATTTAATAGCCTGAAACTACTGCAAAGTGAAGTCATACTGGGAAAATGTTGAGAATTACAATAATGATATAAATGAGAAACAAGCCTGAGAAACCGCATCAAAACAAAAATCAAGTCCTCTAGTGGGTGGATTGTATTTGATTTTTTTAAAATGGTTACAATAGAAAAACTTACTGTAAGTTTCAAAAGTTCTTGATCACAAATTCACTGGGTCCAAAAAATATTGCAGTGTGTATGACTCAGAGAGTAAATCTGTCATATTCCAAGAAGTTGATCAGGAATGTTATTGAACAAAATAAGAGCAGAACCTGCTACACAAAAATCCAAGTACTGAAGAGCACTAGGAAAAAAAGACTAGTGACACAAGCAGGGCACTCAAATCTAATAGGATTTAATATATTAAAACTGAATCCTTCCTACGTGGGGCACAAACAATGCTCCACTATCTGTACTGCCCAACCTGGGCCTCTCTTGTGCATACCCTCTATGTTAAGTGCCATAAATATTCCCTAAGTACAGAGGGGTTCTTTCAGTCAGCATTACTGTAGTGTTCCTCCCACTCCCCAGTCAAAACAGACTCTTTAGCTTCATTCTTAACACGTCCCAACTTTCACAAGCTTCGTTGGTGACTTGGTTTTCACTTGTAGATTTCCAAGTTTTAATTTTTTTATTGAGTCTCACGTCTTTGTAATGTGAGATGTTACAACACTGTCTTTGGGTGTTAACTTCTCTGTCAAAGGCTTCTTGTGGGGTTGGTCCATTTAGCAGTATTGCCAACCCCAAATGTTCAAAAATCATGAGTCAGGCTCACCAAAAATAATGAGATTTGGCTTCATGTAAAAATAATAGATTTGGTGTTCTTTTATTTGCCTTCTGCTTTTCGAGCCTTTAGGGTGCACTAGGGTCACATTTTGAAACTTTCTCCACAATCATAAGAGCTAGGAACTTACTTTTTCTTTAAGAATGAAGGCTGAAATAATCACATATCCACTTGA